CCCTGCACTGACCAGCATGTTCTCCTGTGGGCGGAGTAACAGCTGCTGGCCTGAGGATGCTATCTCCTCTTCGCATTGTTGATGGTCATGACAAGCTATGTTGTCACAGCTGGTCCCACCTTGAGAAACCAAGAAGGGCCTGGAGACCAGGACCCGGAAGTATTGCAGGATTTCCGTGGTGTTGATCAGTTTCATTTGGCGGGTGATAAGCCGGTCACTCAGCACCTGGGGCCACGGGTGGAGGGAGTGAGGGGGTGCCACATGGTGCCATCTCTTCCTGCCCCTCAGGCCATGACTCTGGGGAAGGGACTCAGGAGGACCCACAGGCACATGGGAGGTTCAAGTCCTTTGGCTGGTTCAGGGTGACAGCATACTCACCCCACAGCAGGGATTTTTCGGGATGAGGTCGCTGGCGTGGCACTGGAATTCCAAGTAGCCATTGCTGTCCAGCTCGATGGTCAGCCTGTAGTGACAGGCACTACTCAGGTGCCAGGATCTGGGTCCTCTAGCATCACCTCCCTATCCCAGCGGGCTCCTCCTCTCTTCTCTGCCTGTCCTCTCTCAAGAGGATGAGGGTGCAGGAGGGAGAGCCGGTTGACTCACTGTGCAAGCCTCACGTAGCCATTCAGATCTAGTCTCAGGGGGCCCACGGCAAACTCATGAAGGCGGCGCATCCGACCCGGGATTTCTCTGTCTGTCTGCAGAGCCCAAGCCGTCAGAGATCACTGGCGGTGCCCGGGCTGGGCAGGCAGTGTGACTCTCAGGGGAGAGGTGGCGGCCATGGCACCCTCACCCCAGGTGGGAAGCCTCACCTCTTTATCCAAGCTCATGAAGCCCAGGGCATAGGCAGCACACTCCACCTTGTGCCGAATGTCAAGGTCGAGCGCCATGGGTGTGAAGAAGATATGCATGACCCTGTTACCTCCAGCTGGGATGACCTGGCCGGAACACAGCAGCCTCAGCCCTGGCCCCATGCTCATCAGGCCGGTGCAGCTCCCCCAGAGAGCACCCACCCACTGCCTACTCACCACCTGCTTGGGGCTGACCCGGTACATGCTGTCGGAGGGCAGCCCCTCGTGCCCCTGCAGGATGACCGAGATGATCTGCTCTTCAGCCCTGGTTTCGCCGCTGCCACTGCCGCTGCAACTACCCTGTTACCAGCGAGACCCCGGAGCTCGAGTGGGCTCGAACTGACCCGGGGTCACATTTCGCGTGCCCTGTACTCCTGCTCACCGATGAGGGGACCGCATGGCTGGACACCGACATGTTGGAGGGACTTGGGCACCATGGTGAGCTGGCCTCAGAGGTCTCTGGGCACAAGAGCTCATTCCCATCTTGGTCCCGCAGGGGGAAGGGTGGCCCGTAGAACACGAGCAGCTCCAGCAGCCGGTCTTCCTTTTCTTCTGGGACGTAGGTCTCCCAGTCTAGGCGGATGTCTGAGGAAAGCATGGAGGAGAAAGGAGAGTGGGCGTCTTCTGCCGACCGACCCCTCACCTCCGTGTTCCCCCATACTCAACAGCGGAGTGGGAACCTCGCTGACTTCATAATGCCACCACTTTAGAAAGCAGTTCTTGGCCGGGCATTGGTGGCGCTCGCCTTTAATCCCAGCACTGGGGAGGCAGAGGCAGGTGGATCTCTGTGAGTTCAAGACCAGCCTGAACCTGTTCTAAAAAAAAAAAAAAAAAAAAAAAAAAAAAAAAAAAAAAATGTTGGTTAGTTTCTGTCAGTGTGTCCCAAACTAGAGGTGCTCCTAGGGAGAGGAGACCCCACTTGAGAAACTTGAGAAACAGCCTCCAGCAGTTTGGCCTACGTGCGTGCGTGGGTCTGTGGGAGCATTTTCTTGTTAATGACTGACTGTGAGGGGAGGCCCAGCAGGGCCCTGGGCAAGCTCACTCCTGGGCAAGTTGTCCTGGGCTGTATAAGAACACAAGTTGAATAAGCCAAAAGGAGCAAGCCTGTAAGCAGCGCTCCTCCATAGTCTCTGCTTCGGTTCCTGTCTCAGGTTCCTGCCTCGAGTTCCCCTTTTCTTGTTCTCCCAGGGACCCCAATCCCTTGTGTGGCACCTGATCTGTTCCTCAGATACTGCTGGCTGAAGGACTGAGCAAAGGGGGCCTTGCAAGTGTCTGTCCCTGGTGACACAAGTGACCCTGGTGACACAAAGTTAAGCAAGGATGAGTCCCATCCTCGAGAATGGAAGCCCCTCTCTCTTCAGCCTGGACTGACACAGTCACCTCTCTCCTTTGGACCTCTGGGTCTGTCTTAAGGGCTACAGGCCACTTGTACTCCTGGATCCTGTTTGTGGCTGTTCGCTCCCTCGAGACCATCTCCTCTCCCTGCTGGACACGCCACCCTGACCATCACGAGCAACTCACCACAGGGACTGGAGTTATACAGACGGAGAGTTCTGTTGACTGTGTCTCCTCCAGAGATCTGGGTCCCAAACCTGTGGCGAGAGAGCAGCCTGAGCCAGTAAACTCTGTATGGACTTTGTAACCTTGGTGGGCAGGAGACCTGGGCGGGCCTCAGCTATCTGTCCTTGCCTCAGTAACCCAGGGCTGCAGAACTCAACTGTCACATCATCCAATTGCCAACATTCTGCCTGGGTTTGTCACATGGATCCTAGTGTCAGCCCTAGGGACTGGCACTGCTTTGGATCACTCTCTGTCCATCCACCCGCCCCAAAGCCCTCAGAGACACACAGATGTCAGCCCTGTCCCGTGAGGCTCTCTTCCCCAAGATAGCCATACCCTAGAGCTTCCTTGTGGGTGACTCAGGTGGCCCTAAGCCAGCTGGAGAACCAGCAGCCAGCACAGACAAGCCAGACTGACACCCAGAGGGTTCTGGGGTGGTCAGGGATTGGAGGCCTGGGCTGAAGCTGGGTACCTGATGGTAGGTTCCTTCAGGAATGGGGCCACACTGTAGCATGTGTTCCTCAGGGAGCTGATGGGGCAGCCCACCACAGCCATGTACACTGGGATGACCGTTACTGGCAGGTCCCCCACCTGCAAACACCAGCTCTTTGTCAACGAGAGCCTCTGCATTTCTTTCAGTCAAAGTTTCCACTTGTCCAACCAGCCCAGGGTCCCCAGAACTCTGTTCCTATTGAACTCAGCCTCACTCACTGTCCAGTTCCTAACCCAGACGCCTCTAGCTTGGGCTGCTTCACCCACAGCTCCTGTCTGCCTTTCCTTCCCCCACAGCGGGCTACCTTTTACTCATCTAGCCGCAGGGCCTCTGGCCTCTCGTGGCCCCTTTGTTCAAATACCTTTTAGTTTGCTAAAGATTGTGTGTGTGTGTGTGTGTGTGTGTGTGTGGGAGCACATGGGTGTATTGTGTATTGTATGAACGTGTGTGCATGAGTGTGGTGCGTGTGCATGTGTGTTGTGTGTGCATGCGTGTGTTGTGTGTGTATGTGTGTTGTGTGTGCATACATGTGGTGCATGTGCATGTGTGTGTTGTGTGTTGTGTGTGCATGCATACTGTGCGGGTGCATGTGTGTTGTGTGTGCATGCGTGTTGTGCATGTGCATGCGTGTTGTGTGTGCATGTGTGTGTATCGGCTGCCTAGAAAATGATCAAATGCAGAGACCTGGGTAAGGGTGTGGTGCTGGGGAAGCTGTTACTGTCTCCTCTTTGCTCCTTGCTGCTCTTTCTGGCCTACCATGTTCTGTCCTCCTCGTGGTGCCCTGCCCTGTACATCACAGAGATCCAGAAGGTTCTGCTGCTACACAAGAGGACTCTCAGCCTTGACCCCAGAGGCTGCAGCCATGTGAGCGAGCAGCACGCGGCAGCAGCTGCTCTTGGAGGGCTGAGGGCCACAGCTGGCAGAGAGGAGACTAGGAGCTGGGTGCCTACATGTGTATCCTTACCGTGCAAAGGAGGTCATCCCAGTACTCGCCCCACATGTTGGCACAGCCTGTGATGTTGATATTCAGCTGCTGGTGGGCTCCCAGCATGCCCTGAGAGATGTGGGGGAAGAAAGCTGCTCCTTTCCTGTGTGATAGGATGTTCTCCATAAAGTCTGGGGAGGACGGGACACGGGGGTGCGAGGGGGTCAGGTTCCTGGGCTGAGAGTGAGGGCTAAATCCTCAGGAGTTAGCAAAGCCTGGCCCTGGTGGAGCCCTGCTTGGCCAGCCTCTTGTACCTCCCATGAGGTCAAGCCCTCCTTTGTGAGCCACCACCAGCCCCCAAACAAAACCGCGTCCTACACACTCGATGCAGCCATGTTGGGGTCCCACTGAGGAATACACTGAGAGGGAGTGAGTCGCTGGTCCCCATTTCCCTCCCTGGTGGACACAACTTCTTCAGAAGGGCTGTGTTGGCAGCTCTTACCCATCTTTTCTCTCTTGGCCAGCTGCTCTTGGATGCGCGCTGTCTTTAGCAGGGCTGGGGGCAGGTCAGGGCTTCGCAGGGACAGAAAACGGTGTCGGAGCAGTCAGCCCCTCCCACACTCTGAGCCACAGTCCCTGATAGACACATCTGGACAGGTGCTCAGCATGGGGAGGTAGCCCGCTCCTCTCGAGGGAGGCTGACCAGGCCCCTCGTCACCACTCTTTTACATTTCCGTTCCCAAAGGACCTCTACCATCCAGAGCAGCCCTAGCGGCAGGCGACCCCTAGAGTGACAGGAATTGCCTCCCAGGAAATGCACAGGATGATCTCTGAGACAGAGATCTGTTATCCCAGGGCAAAACCAGCTCTGGGTCCCCAAGTCTAGGGCACCCTTTGCTGCAGGTCCCACTCTGCCCAGCTGTTCCCCGTCTGGCGTCAGGAGGCACTGGCAAGCTGTGGCAGAAAGCTAAGGGTCTAGACAGCGCTCCCTCACCTCCATCCGCCTGTCAGGTGATCAGGCCCGTGATCCAGTTTCGTTCCGGACAGCCCTGTTTCTAAGTCCTCACCCCACACCTCTGCCCCCGGTTCCTGTCTGCAGTGGCATCTCCCTCGTTTATGCATCTCTCCTGCCTGGTCTCAGAAGGCCTCCACATCCAAGGCCAAGCTGAGGAGGAGTCAAAAGCCTGGCCTCTCTCCCACAGTGACCCCTGGGGTCTTCAAGGTGGGCTGTAGGAGCTAGCCCTTCTGTGCATTTCCCTACATCCATCTGCCTCTAGCCTTCTGATGGGGGAAGTCCTTCTGTGTATATGTTTGTCTTATTGGTTACAAGCACTGTTGATAAATAAAGCACTGTTGACCAATAGGGAAGCAAGATAGGTGGGGCTAGGAGTCTAAGAGGATTCTGGGAAATGTAGTCAAGAGGAAGTCTCCATGTGATCCTGGGGAAGAGAGGATGCATGCTGCTGGCATCCTCAATAAGTCTTTATAAAATATATAGATTAATGGTTATGGTTGATATTTAAGACAGAGCTAGTAAATAAAAATCCTAGTCATTGGCCAGCAGCATTGTAACTAATATTAATCTCTGTGTATTATTTGGGGGCTCTAACGTGGAGGCGGAACTCAGGTGGCTGGCAGAAACAGTCATCGTTACAGCCTTCCAAACAAAAACACGGCCCACTGGGGATAACCTGTCGTCTGACCTCACGCACCCTGGGAAATGCCCCAACAAGAGATTGGGACTTACAGGCTGGTCTTTCTGTTCAGGCTCTCCTGGGAGCTCCCAAAGTACTCAAACTTGAGGGTAAAAGGTGTCTGTATCGGGGAGCAATTTGTCAGGATGAGTTGGCGAGTCACACGGGTCCTCAGTGGCACTTTGGAGCCGAAGTCCAATCTGAGCTTCTCCGGGTGGTCTGAGAACTGTGCACTGTTAACGGTACTGCCCCATGCCACGGGTACTATGTTACCTGCCACTCTCATTCCAGGTCAGAGAGCCCCACCCCCCTGGGTGGGGTGGGGGGTTGAGTCCTGAAACCCAACGGGCTCCCTCCTCATGGAGTGTCAGACCCGAGACCCAACCTGCTTGCCAACCCACCATGCCAGAGGAGTATGAGAACGGCACGGATTGCCCCCGTGGGGTCAGAGTGGCTTGGTGCCAAGCTGCTGGGCCTCATTTGGGAAAACTCATTGATGCCCCCTGCCATCTCCTGCCTGCCTCACAGTGTGTACAGAAACGCCACACAGGGTGTGGAGCAGCTTCTGTAGAGATAGCCAGGGCCTGTGACAACTTGGTAGCCTTCTCGCAGACGAAGGAATTTGATGGGGGGGGGGGGGCAGTACCATTGTGCAATGTCAGCCCTCCATGAGGCTTCCCCTACCCTGGACTCACCTTCCATCAGAGTCCTCTATGGAGACGGTAACAGTCACTCGCAGCCCCAGAGGGTTCCCAGAGATGCCCAGGGCCAGTGGCTTCTCCATGCCAGACACATGACAAGGGAGGGCCAAATCGGTCAGCTTCTCCTGCAAGAAGTTCATCTGCAGGTTGGTTTCAGGGCCAGGACCTCAGAAAATGAGCCCAGACAGTCTTCTGATACCATGGGTAACAACATGAAAGCCTGGCTTCTCTCTGAAGAAAGGCCTCCAGGTGCTTCCAGTGTGCCATCCTGCCAGGCCAGACAAGGCCCTTAGAGGCTGACCCTCACTCTAGGGTCACAGCTATATGTGTCAGCCTGACATACCCGTATATATACACAGGAAGGCGTAATGGTTAGCCTCTGTTGTCAGCTTGATGGGATTTAAAATCACCAGAGAAACGGGTGTTTGACATGCCTGTGAAAGAGACAGTTTTAGCTGCAGTGGGGAGACCCGTCCTTAATGTGAGCATACTACCTCATGGGTGAAAGCCCTAGACTGAGTATCAGGAAGTGAGCTGAGCACCAGCGTCCATCTCTTTCTGCTTCCTGTTTGGGGATGCCATGTGACTGGCCACCTCACACTCCTGCGGGCCTGGCTTCTGTGATGATGTTTTGTTTGTGCTCTAATAAATAAAGCTTGCCTGAAGATCAGAGTGCGGAGCCAGCCACTAGTTAGCCACAGAGGCCAGGCAGTGGGTGGTGCACACCTTTAATCCCAGCACTGGGGAGGCAGAGGCAGGAGGATCTCTGTGAGTTTGAGGCCAGCCTGGGCTACATGAGATTGATCCAATCTAAAAGAGAAACAGAGGCAGGCTCACACCTTGAATCCCGGCACTAGGGAGGTGGAGACAGTAGTGACACAGGTGGGCGGAGAGAGACAGGAGTGCATTGCGTTCAATCTGAGGATTCACAGGGACAGAATCGCCCCTTCAGTGTGAGGATTCAGTAGATGTGAGAATTAGGAGCTGACTGCTCTGTTTCTCTGATCTTTCAACCTTAACTCCTATATCTGACTTGGGTTTACTATTATTATTATTATTATTATTATTATTATTATTAAGACCAATTAGAATTCCAGCTACAAGCTTCCCCACCGTGATATCTGCAGCCTCTAACTATGAGTTAATATATCTTTTCTTCCTTGAGTTGCTTTTGTTACAGCGAGGATTTGAAAAGTAACTGAAACAATCGATCATCAAAGCGACTTCTGGAGAGCAGTGCCCGTTCTTCAGTGGGCAGCAGGAAGTTGTTCCACGAAAGGCCTGGCACCCAGACCCAGCTGTGTAAACAAGCTCACTGGCCCCATGTCTGCCATTGAGGAGTTGGCAGCTGGACCTGTGAGTCTCTGAAAGCTGGCTTCTGACCTCCACATGCAGGGTCAAGTGCACACTAACCCTTACACACACACACACACACACACACACACACACACACACACACACACACGTGCGCGCGCGCATAGTACATAAGTAAATAAATTGTTAAAAAGAAAAATAAAGGGGTTGGAGAGATGGCTCAGTGGTTAAGAGCACTGACTGCTCTTCCAGAGGACCTGGGTTCAATTCCCAACACCCACATGGCAGCTCACAACTATCTGTAATTCCAGTTCTAGGGAATCCACCACCCATGGCAAAACACCTATGCATATAAAATAAAAGTAAAATTTTTGTTGTTTTTCAAGACAGGGTTTCTCTGTAGATTTGGAGCCTGTCCTGGAACTAACTCTTGTAGACCAGGCTGGTCTCAAACTCACAGAGATCTGCCTGCCTCTGCCTCCTGAGTACTGGGATTAAAAGCATGTACTACCACCACCGGCTGATAAATTTGAAAAAAAAAAAAAGAAAAAGAAAAAGAAAAAGAAAGAAAGAAGAAACTCTTTTTAAGAGTTGAGGATGTTTCTTTTCCCAGAAGAACCACAGAATTGGCCAGCAACACTTAAATACTGAGCAGGTCCCGCTGTGATGGCATCTCTCTAGGATACTCCAGGGAGAAGCTGAGCCTTTCCTGGGAGGATACCAGCCACCCGTTGGTCTCCCCCTGTAGCATCCAGAACAGTGCCTGCCTTGAGCAATGGCTTTGCCCTGGGCAAAGTGGACAATTGAGCTGCCTGAGGCCACACAGAGAAAGGTAGGGCTGGTAACAATGTGATCAGTGGGTCTCAGACCACATTTGACCCTACTCTAGGCTCTCTGGCCTTGTGGTCTCAGAGAGTAGGTCCAGAATGAAAGAGAACCCTAAACACGAACACATTAAATCTCTTGCCCACTCCTGAAGAACAGGGCCTGTTAGCCTTCCCTGGAAACATTGGTGGCGGTGGTTGGATAGGGTACGTTCCCAGCCACAAAGCACTTCCAAGCTGCCTTACTCACCCGTGTGTTGGCTGTAAACTGCAAGTTGAGCTGGCGCTCCTCACTGGGACCCAGTAGGCCACGTCTTGGAGAGATTGTCACTCTGCACAAGGCTGCTTGAGCCCCCAGGAGCTGGAAGACACAGAATGGAGTTATTGTCTTATGAGGTTACCAGACAGACCAGATCTACACAGTGCTAACACAGCAAGCCGGGCTAGGCACGTCAGGAATAAACCACAGAGCCTTCTCTCCTCCACAAGTGCGGTCGGCTTCACCACCCACCGTGGAGTTGCCTGGACAAACTGGGCAAACCACTGTAGTGGACAGCAGAAGGCAGCTGACTTCTCTCATGGTGCTCAGAGCAAGCTCCACTGTCGACTACAGGGGCATTGCTATGACTAGGTTCCGAACAGCTGTGCAGACCAGCAATGGGCTGTTCTGGCTGAGAGGTCTCGGCTGTATTCACTAGGAACTCCTTCTTGGGCAGGGAACTAGAATTTCCTAAAGATGGAGCCATGAAAGGTCAGGCAAGATGAACTGTTAAGGAGCCATGCTTTTCTGAGAACCGTGGGTGGGGCCACGGGCTTCGGGAGGGAGGCTGAGCATTTGTTTGGAGGGTGGCCATTCAGGGGGTGGGGGCCCCACGAGTGTCCGCTGCTGGCAGCTGCAGATTGCTGCTAGTTCAGGCTCAGTCGCTCACCTTGCCCCAGTGGAACCGGGTGGGCAGGAGTGTGCCGTTGACCAGCACGACAGTTGACTTTGTGGGCACACCCAGGTACAGGTTGCTGAGCTCCACGTGGCTGCTTTTCAGGTACACATAAGGCTGCTGAACCTCTGCATACACAGGGAGGTAACTGGAACACAGGAAACAGAAAAGGAAAAAAAAAAACTCCCCAGTTTGCAAATAGTTATTAATACAACAATAACAAAAACAAAACAAAAAAACAAAACAAAAAACAGCTAGGGGTAGCACATTTATAATTCACTGTGGATTCCAGGCCAGCCTGGTCTACAGAGCAAGTTTTGTGCAAGCCAGGGCCGCACAGTGAAACCCCATCTCAAGAAACCCCAAACAACAAACAAACCAACAAACAAAACTCTTAAAAAGCAAGTTTGGCAAAGCTGCAGCTAAAATGCAGGCTCGTCCTTCAGAACGCAACCGTATTCTTATCCTTCAACAATGAGCATGTAGATACAAACTACTTAAATTTTAAATCACTCAAAATATGAGAAATTTTAAGGAGAATACTCTGGGTTTATTTCAGGATGGTCACTATCCCTGACCAAACTAAAAGAACCTTCTTGTCACCACGGGAATCTAGGCGTTCCTGTCCTAGCTAATTTTAACTGTCAATCTGGCATAGCCAGATGAGTATACCTGAGAAGGTTCACTCTGCTGAGGGATTGTCCAGTCAGAATGACCTGTGGGTATGTCTGTGAGCGACTGTCTGGATTGTAACTGAAACAGGAAGGCTCAGTCCACTGTGGGCAGTGCCATTCCCCGGGCAGGTGTTTCTGGGCTATATAACAAAGTTAGTTGAGTGTGAGCCTGTGAGGGAGCCGGCCAGCAGCCCTCCTCTATGGTTTCTGCTTCTAGTTCCTGCCCTGACTCCCCTCGGTGTTGCACCATGACCTGCAAGTGTAAGCCAAACAAATCTTTTCTTTCTCTAACTTGCTTTTGGTCAGAGTGTTTTGTTGTTGTTGAGTTTTCAAGACAGGGTTTCTCTGTGTAACCACTCAGGCTGTCCTGGAACTCACTCTGTAGACCAGGCTGGCCTTGAACTCAGAAATCCACCCACTTCTGCCTCTGAAGTGATGGGATGAAAGTCATGTTTCAGTACTGCCCAGCTGGTCAGAGTATTTTATCACAACAAAAAGAAAACTACACCAGCTCCCAAAGCTTTGAGCCTCATCCCACCTGACATTCAGACTCCAGAATTTGTTGAAGCTGTTGAGTGTCCCTTCCGTGACTGGCCCCAACCACTGCTGCTTCGGAGAAACGGACCTGTTTTCTACATTTGACTTCTCCCTGGGATTGGGCTGGTGCACTCTCAATTCTCTGACAGACACAAAGTTACTTTTCATTTGTTCATTTTTTTTTTCTTCTTGTTGTGAGGCAGGAGCTTGATGGACAAGTGCTCTATGGGTCTAGATGGCGGGGGCCATTTTGTAGTGAAATTAACATTATGGTGAGCTGATGTAGTGAGCAAAGGAGATTATCCTAGAGAGTGTACACGGGCCTGTCAATCATTTGAGAGGCCTTAAAAGCAAGAGCCTGGGGTTGCCTGGCCAGCCACAGTTAGGTGAGTTGATTGAGTCTTGGCAAGAAATTATATCCATGCACACATAATGTTACATATAACTTATATATCATAGTACTCAGTTAGATATATATATATATACATGATACATAGTCTTGTTTCATATCTTGGGCAGTGCTTAAATTTACAATATTCCTATTTCAGCTGCCTGAGTGCTGGTATTATAGGCATGCGCCATGTCTGGCTGTAACAAAGTCTTGTGTATATGTAGGGGGGTGGTCAGAGGTCAATGGCAATGTTGGGTGTCTTCCTGAGTTGCTGTGCACTTTGTTTTGGGACAGGGTCCAGCTAAGATGGCCAGACAGAGAGCCCTGGAGCTGCCTGTCTCGGCCTCCGCCGCGCTCAGATTCCCCGCATGTGCTGCTGTTACTAGGCGCTTTCAGGGTCACTCTCAGATTCCAGGGACTTCCCGCCCCCAAATGCCCCCCACTTCAGCTGTCTCTTCCAGCACTCGCTCCCTCTTTCCCTCCCACCTTCAGCCTGATCTCCCTATTCCCATTTTCACTGGCCACCTACCTACCTGCAAGATCTACTCTATTTTTCTGCTTCCCAGGGAGATCCATGGGTCCCCCATTGAGCCTTCCTTGTTACTTAGCCTCTTTGGGTCTGTGGTTTGTAGCATGATTATTCTTTACTGAACCACTAATATCCACTTATGAGAGAGTGCCTACCATGTTTATCTTTCTGGGTATGGGTTTCCTACTCAGGGTGATGTTCTCGTACCCCCCTGAGTGGGTGGATATAGAGCTCATAATAGCCATCGTCTAATAACAAGGCAAGGCTCCCAACAGTGGGGCTGGGATATCAACCCACCCTAAAACCTTAGACCTACAGCATGTCCTGCCTGCAAGATGTGCTGGTGCAGAACATTGGTGGCCAACCAGTGACTGGTCCAATTTGAGGCCCACACCATGAGAGGAAGCCCATGACTGACATTGCCTGGATGGCCAAGAATTAGAGGCAGGACGGCCCTGAGACCTGGGATAAAACCAAAAGGACCACCCCTGCTCCCCCCACCCAAAAAAGGGCAACGAATGTTTCCTAATGATACCCTGCTATACTCATAGGTCAGCACCTAGCCCAACTGTCATTAGAGAGGCTTCATCCAGCAACTGATGATGGCAGATGCACAGCCAAACATTAGGCAGAGCTCAAGAAGCCCCAAAGAAGAGAGAGAGGGGACGGATTGTAGGAGCCAGAGGGGTCAAGGACACCATGAGGATGCAGCCCACAGAATCAACTAAGCAGAGCTCATAGGGACTCACAGAGATTGGAGCAACTAACACTGACCCTGCGTGGGTCTGTGCTAGGTAGGTCCTCTGCACATATGTTGTGGTTATGTATCTTTGTGTTCAGTGGGAGTGGGGGGGGTGTCTTTGACTCCTTTGCCTGTGCTTGGACCCTTTTCCTCCTACTGGGTTGCTTCATCCAGCCTTAATATTCTGTGCTTGGCGGATATTCCTGGCAAGCCTGCTCCTTTTTTGAAGGGAAACAGAGGAGGAGTAGATCAGGGGAGAGGGGACTGGGGGGGGGGCTGGGAGGAGTGGAGGGAGGGATATAATGTATGAGAAAAGAATTAAAAAAAAATTTAAAAGCAAAGCACAAATGCTGCTATGGTCGGCTTCTCATGTGGGTGTTAGGGATCCAAACTCAGGTTCTCATGCTTTCCCAGCAAGCATTTTTCAACTTAGCTATCTTTGCAGCACCCCCTCCAACATCATATTTTAATAAACATGTTATTGTTCTGTTTCTCTGGTGGGGTTCGGACTGACACGATACTATCTAAGAAACCTGTAAGTAAATATAAAAGATGGCATGGATTTATTTTTCCCTGTAACTCGTTTATTTTACCTGATTTAAAGAGAACCACAGCTAGGCGGTGGTGGTGCACGCCTTTAGTCCCAACACCTGGGAGGCAGAGGCAGGTGGATCTCTGTGAGTGTTGGATCAGCCTGGTCTACAGAGCGAGTTCCAGGAGAGCCAGAGCTGTACAAAGAAACCCTGTCTCAAAAAAGAGAGAGAGAGAGAGAGAGAGAGAGAGAGAGAGAGAGAGAGAGAGACCCGTTAACCAGTAACTAAATCTGTGCCCATGGGTCCCATGAAGCCAGCAACATTAAGGGGAATGACGATTGGACTAGAATGGTTGAGACCTCGATATCTTACTTTTAACAATGAACAGGACTAAGATGCTTGTTGAAATGGAAGGCTTGGACACTGTTACAAACCGGACATCCCAACAGACACACATACACACAACACTTTACCCAACAGAACAGAGAACTCAGTAAGTCGAACCTAACAGAGTTAAATGTTTTTGTACTTTAATAATACTATCAAGAGGGTGCTGGACAGATAGTTCAGTGGTTAAGAGCACTGGCTACTCTTCCAGAGGACATGGGTTCAGTTCCCAGCACCCACATGGCAGCTCACAACTGTCTTTGGCGCCAGTTCCAGGGGATCCGACATCCTCATACAGACATTCTTGCAGGCGAAACACCATTGCCCATGATATAAAAATAAATAAATCATTAAAAAAATTATCGAGAGAACCTGGCCATAGAATGGCTGAAAATAGTGTATCTAACTAGAGACTTGCGTGTTAGAGACATAACGATTTCATACAAACTCAGGAATGAAAAATGAGAAACCCACTTCTTTTTGTTTGTGTTTGTTTTCTGAGACAGGGTTTCTCTGGAGCTCACTCTGTAGATCAGACTGGCCTTGAAGTCAAAGATGTGAGAACTCAGAGATCACCTGCCTCTGCCTCCCCAGTGCAAGGATCAAAGGTGTGAGCCACTGCCAGCTGGCTGAGAATCCTATTTCTTAATTCTTTTAGCATACATGAATAATTCAAAACAATGGATTTCTGATGGCATTTTCATACATATATTTGTGTTTTAATTTATCCACCGTTGACTCCCTTGCCTCCTCTCACTAGTTACCTCCCTTTTCCGTCTACTCTCCCTTCCACCATCTTGTGGGTTTTTTGCTGGGGAGAGCTGGTGGCTGTGCTGGATAGGTTTATGTCAACCAGTCAGCTGAGAGGAGGGAGACTCAACTGAGGAAATGCCTCGGCTAAGAAGAGCTGCAGGCTAGACTGTAGAGCATTTTCTTAATTAATGATTGAAAGCGGAGGGCCCAGCCCATTGTGGGCGAAGCCACCTGTGAGCTAGTGGTAGTGTGTTCGGTAAGAAAGCTGAGTGTGGAGGATATATAGTTTATGATCTAATAAAGCCACTGAAGATCAGAACTAAAAGACTGACACACTAGACAGTCATAGAAGCTGGGCAGTGGTGGCACACACCTTTAATTCCAGGACTCAGCAACAAGGCAGATGGATCTCTGTGAGTTCAAGGCCACTCAGGGCTACAGAAGAGTGAATTAGTCTAAAAGAAAAAACAGAGCTCACACCTTTAATCCCAGAACTAAAGAGATATAAAACAGGAACAGGGGCTTGTGTTCTGGCAATTAGTCTCCAGCCATGTAGAGGACAGGATCCTCCAGTCTCGGTAGAGGTAGAGGTAAGAGCTTGGCTGCTTTGCTTCTCTGGTCTTCAGCTTGAGCCCCAATGTCTGTCTCTGGGTTTTTATTATTCGTGCTACAGCTGGGGTCTCATGAGCGAATTCTAGCTCTGAAAATGGCCACGCCATCTGAATAGATAGCTCTGTGAAGAGAACTTACAAACGACCAGTAAGCACGAAAAGATTTTCAGTGTTCTTTGCCAGGAGGAAAATGCCATCCAGTCCTCAAAGAAGTACTGTTGAAGGTGACAATGCAGCCTCAAAGGGTTAGTGGAGAGTGACGGAGGGCACCTGACACCCTCTGGTGACCTACATACTCACACAGACATGCACACATAGACACACACAGACATACACACAGTCACACAGACACACACACAGACACATCGACACAAAATAACTAAGAAACAATAAATATTTTTTAAAAAACAAAATATTCTCGGGCTGGAGAGATGGCTCAGAGGTTAAGAGCGCCGACTGCTCTTCCGGAGGTCCTGAGTTCAATTCCCAGCAACCACATGGTGGCTCACAACCATCCGTTGTGGGATCTGGTGCCCTCTTCTGGTGTGCAGATATACATGGAAGCAGTATACATAATAAATAAATGAATAAAATCTTTAAAAAAAAAAACAACAAAAAAACCCAAAATATTCTCTATCTGGCTCTGGTGGCATACACCTGCTCTGCCACTGCTTGAGAGCTGGAGGCAGGAGGATCAGAAGTTTAAGGCTCCTCAGCTGCACAGTGAGTCCAAGGCCAGCCTTGGCTATCTAATGACTTCAAGGCTAGCCTTGGCTACATGATACTGTCTCAAAAAAATCAATCAGAAAAGAAAGGAGGGGGAGGGAGAGGAAGATCAAATATTTTGCTTTAGAAGAATGTTGGAAGAGCTAGGGAGAGTTAGAGGATAGGGACTGTGCTTGCATTGAGTTGGTAATAACTGAAGGTCGACAATGAGTTTGGGGGCAGGTGGTAAAATTTTTCTTTATGTACATGAGAAAACTTCTGCAAAGCCAGAGAGAAGGGAGGGAAGGGAAGAGGGAGAAGGGGGCATCACTGCCTTCCAAGCCTCTGGTGTGTCCTACCCAACTACAACAGCGTTAGCACGCTTAACACGGATTGTGGCCATTCTCTTGCCCACGAGCAATGAGCTTTTCCTGTTTCCCATTCTTAGGCTTCCTCTTGCTGGGAAACAGCCCGAGGAAGCCAGAAGGTGGCGCCAGATGCCCTGGAGTTGGGGTTACAGGCCATTGTGATACACCTGACCTGGATGCTGGCAATCACGCCCTGGCCATCTGGGAGAACAGCAAGCACCCTCAACCACTCACTGAGCCATCCCTCCAGGCCCTGGCATCTGTAGTATTAAACTCATAAATATGTCTAGATAAATACTGAGTTGCACATGCTATCAATGTAAGGTAAAAACGCAGTCCACGGTCCACCCTCCCATCCCTCCATACCTCCAGGCCCCGTTTTCCACCTCTAGCTCCAGGACCGTTTGCAGACTCTGGCAGTGCGAGGCCTCTAAGGTGACGTTCACTTTGCACTCCCCCAGAGGGAGAAGCTGGCCGCTCAAAGGCTCAATGTCAAAGGGGGACACCTGAGGTCAACACAGAAGATACAGCAAGAAGTGAGACCTGGGAACCGGGGTGCTAACCAGCAACACCCCAAAGCTGCCCCTGGATCTCCCAGACACAAAACCAAGGAGAGGATGAGCAAGCGTGGGACCACAGCTGGGGAGGACAGCAGGAACAAGAGACCAACGACTGGGTGTCCAGGTAAAGGAATACACAAGACAGAGGTTCCCACACTCCTGGCACAGAGCCAAGAGGTGGGAGGCAGAGAGGTGTCTGGGGTGGAAAGGTGGGTGCTTAGAAGATCAAAGAAGGAGGAGGGGGGAGCTTGGGTGTCCTGGAGGAGGTGCCCTGGGTGAGCCCAGGTCAATCTCTGGCAGTTTGAACTGAAGCCAGCCATCAGGTCACCCCACTGGAGAGAGCAGAGGCTGCAGACAGACAGAATGTCCCCCTTGTCCCCATCCTGGTTTTTCCCCACTCCCACCCCCTATACACACAGAATTGACTCACCTATCAGCAAACCCACCCCTCCACGTGCACACAAAGGAAGAGCAGACAGAAGAGACACCAAAGAAAGTGTTCCAGAATGTCTGCTTCCGGGAAGGGACCTCTACACCTATTTGCCCTGTCCTTGAAGAGAGGGCACCTGTGGGACTAACAAGCCTTGGGCTCCAGGTGGGGCCATATTGGTTAGTGGGATGCCACTGGAAAGCCACACCAGAAAGGGCATCATCTCTCTCTTCAGTGAGACCAGGACAATGGGTGTGAAGGACAAAACTGCCTGGAGGTGCCATCCGACCTGGATTGACCCCACCTCAACCTCATAGGAGGATGACCTTGAACTTCTGATCCCTCTGGCTCAGGGTTCTGGGAATGCAGGCATGTGCCACCACACTCTGTTTTGTGCAGTGTTGGGGACTGAATGCAGGGCAGCTAACAGCTCACATCTGCAGAAACGGAATTTTGTTTCTAGCCCCTCAGGTTTGAGCCACAGCTGCAGCCACCTGGTGGCAGGTACTTAAACTGCAACCACAGCTCCCGGGTGAGCTGCAGGAGGGGATGTGGCCCTTGGCCAAGGTCACCCTCCTGGCTGCATTGCCTGTTTTCTTCTGGACTCGGGCTGCTTCCAAGAAGGAGAACCCCCACACCACCCTGTTCTGTGCCCAGTGGCCAAAAAGGCCAACAGGAAAAGCCTGTGAAATTGGGGCTGAGGTGAGGGATGAAGTCCACCCTGGAGACTGCTGCCTCAGAGCAAGGCCCCTCTACAGACAGGAGCCAAGGGTGAGTGTCCCATGGGGAGGCCACATCTAGGGAGCCTGCAGCATCCCACTCACATCCTCATTTCTCTCCTTCAGGCATACTGGGCTCTCCTTCAAACGCCACACGGCGGAGAGCTGGCTGACATTGCGGATCTGGACGGAGCATGAAGACTTCTGGCCCAGGCGGAGCAGACCGAACTGAAGGGCGGGGACATCAATGACCACGGCAGGTCCCTGAAACACCAGAGGGGCCTGTCACTGCCTGCTTGCCTGCCTGAGGAGGCTCTGGAACCTGCCTGACGTCCTACCCCCACCCCAATCTCTCCAGGCATCCCAGCTGCCCAGTCCCCGGCCGACGGCACCTTGAAGGCAGCTTCAATGTGAAGCACCACGGAGCAGGGCGAATATTTGACTTCACACTTGAGGTCCTGGCTGATTGGCCCGGGGGCTCCACCAGTTAAGTTTAATTCGAAATCGCCGACCTCGTTTGGCTCTAGAGAAGAGGAAGACTTTGAGCTGGCAATCAGGGGCGGGCACAGTTTCCATCCAGGCCCAGGCCGGATCTGGCCACAGGACAACCAGGGTCCTGCCTGGGTCCCCTCAATCCAGCCCCAGGCCGGCCACAGCCGTCTACAGGCGAACTACCTATCAAGCCCGAGCAGGGCTCCACCTCAATGATGTGGCTTTCGCTGATCTTGCCCCACAGGTATTTGATGGGTGACTTGCTGTTATTCCACATCTGAAAGACACACACCCGTCCACGCTGCCCGGGCACTGCCCTTCCATGTCAAATGAGAACCTGCTGAAGGACGGTGAGACCGTCTGCTGGCTACTGACTGCCTGAAGCTCCAGGCCTCTCTACTCGAGAGGCACCTTTGCTCCGTGTTGTGGGGACGCAGGTGCCACCACATCCTGCTGGAGACTTGGGAATGAGTTCCACAGCCCTGACTTCAGAAGATTCCGGGACGCTGATATTAAGTCAGACAAGCCTGGCCCGGGAGGAGTGTGAACCACTATAGGCTCCTTGTCCTGGCCTGTGGAGCCCCTATCTTCACCACGCTTACACCTACCCGGACCAGATGAAGCTGGTGGGGGGATTCCTTACTTTAAAATCTTTCTTCACAGTGATGCCAATGTAACTCTCGCCAGGGATGATGAGGGCGTAGGGTTCTAAAAGAACCTGGAAGGGCTCCACCGAGCCTTTCACCTCTATTTCCAGGACGATCACATCATCCACTGAGTAGGAGTAGTCACCCAGGTTCTCCATCCCTGAGCTGAACACAAACTCACTGTGAGCTAGGGGCTCACACACCCCAGGCGGCGCATGTCCCTGCCTCTACCCCATTTGTTTGGTCTTGTGAACACAGAGCAGTCCCTTACCCTCATTCCCCAACCCCACAGTCATATGACAAAAGCCTTCACCATGACAGTGCAAAGTGACCGCAGACTAGCCTAAAGCCTGGAGTGTGGGGACTTGCAGCCTCCAGGAACAGCGTGCAGTGCAGGCTCCAGCGGGGACCTGTGCATGTGACCCACATCCAGCCAGTGCGTCATGCAGACCTTCCCACAGTCCTCAACAGCACCCAGGGGCTACCAGCTATACCAGCTAGGCTACCCTACCCAGGCTCACCTAGTTACTCACCTCAAGGGCTCGGGGACAGCTTCCAGAACCATTTGTAGTACACTGTGGAAACACTTGAGCTGCAGGAGGAACACAGTACAAAAACCAAACTGCCTTCCAGCCAGGTGGCCTGCCTGCAGGGAGCTAGTGGACAAGGCAGGGATTCCTTTTTCCTGAGGTGCCCAGGGAGGTGGGGTGGGGGTAGGGGGTGGGGGTAGGGGGTGGGGAGGCTTCTGAAGGG